TTTCTCTTGCTTATATATATATTTTTAAAGATTTATTTATTTATTTGCAGGTCGGAGTTACACAAAGAGAGGAGAGGCAGAGAGAGAAAGAGAGAGGTCTTCCATCTGATGGTTCATTCTCCAGCTGGCCTCAACGGCCGGAGATGTGCTGATCCGAAGCCAGGAGCTTCTTGCAGGCCTCCCACGCGGGTGCAGGGGCCCAAGGACTTAGGCCATCTTCTGCTGCTTTCCCAGGCCACAGCAGATAGCTGGTTTGGAAGAGGAGCAGCTGGGACTAGAAATGGTGCCCATATGGGATGCTGGCACTTCAGGCTAGGGTGTTAACCCACTGCACCACAGCACCAGCCCCATGCTTATATGTATTTCAAGACTGTTTTCCAATAATCTGACATAAATGAAATGGCTTTCACAGGGTAGATATGTATTTAGATTCTTTAATTTCTAAGTTTTACTAATAAAATTCACTCTTGAATTTGACCTATGTTGAAATCTGGACAGCTATCCTCAACAGTGATTGGTATCCTTGTGTGTTGCTTAACCACGGAGATGTGTTCTGGGAAATCCTAGCCTGTGCTCATACAAACTAAGATGCCTTGGGAGCTGGTGCCGTGGCGCAGTAGGTTAATCCTCCGCCTGCGGCGCTGGCATCCCATAAGGGCACCATTTCTAGTCCCAGCTGCTCCTCTTCCCATCCAGCTCTCTGCTATGGCCTGGGAAAGCAGTAGAAGATGGCCCAAGTCCTTGGGCCCCTGCACCCACATGGGAGACCTGGAAGAAGCTCTGGCTCTTGGCTTCGGATCGGCGCAGCTCCAGCCATTTGGGGAATGAACCAATGGAAGGAAGACATTTCTCTCTGTCTCTCCCTCTCACTGTCTGTAACCCTACCTCTGAAATAAATAAATAAAATCTTAAAAAAAAAAAAAGATGCCTACCATGGCACTAGGCTGTATAATCTCATGGGACCAGTGGTATATATACAGCTCATCATCAACTATGATGTCCCCATATAATACATGGCTGTAATAGAAAGTTTTGTTACAGGTTCATTGAACCAAACCATGACTCACTTGTCAACATTTTTGTTCTTTTACTGAAACTGTAGTAACAGTGTTAATATAACCAAGTTTGTATAACATGTCATGGATAATCAGGCCACTGCATAAACTTGGTTAATCTGTGTAACGCAGACCTGTGCTTCAGCCCAGGTTTGTCACGGAGTCCCTGGCTGCTTTAGAAGCTTTCACATTGAAATGAGTTTGTGATCGAAGAGGCAAAGCAGAGATAATGTGTTACCTTTTTATTTCTTTTGCTTTTCAAATGACCATTGTCTAATATTAACATATTTTCAAAGTTTGTAACTGTCAGCAATGAAATTTTGGCTGTGATTGAGCTAGATTGTAACACTTTGCTCAAAATAGCCTTTTTGATTTTAGAATGTGTATTGATTAAGGGTCTCAAGTTGCAGTTTTTGGAAAAACTGGTTGAGTAACATTTTATCATAATTCTCATTGTATGTAATTTGGTGCCTCACTGAACAGAGGGGATTCCTGGAAACGTCTAGCTTGTGTGAAGTCATATTAATTATTAATAATTAATTCTATTAATTCTCTGTTCCTAGGACTTAAAAATGCAGTTTTGGTTTTTCTTTGTGACCATTTAACTGGACCTGAATATTTTGCAGGTTGTTTCATGAGTGTGGTTAGTTAATTGGGCAGGTAGCAATTCACCATCTAACTCTGTAGACACTGCAGAGCTAAACTCCTGAGAAACAGTAACTGACAAGGTATAATTTTAAATAACTGATATGTATGAGGAGAGAGGAACTTAAGTCACTATTTCATCTTATTTCCAAATATCTTTAAAGAACAAAAGGACTCGGAAAGGTGCTTATTTCTGTTTCCATCTGATTTTCTCTCCTGACCTGTCAATTATAAAGTAGCCCACTGCCTTATGTATTTTTATAAGGATATCTGACCCTAGATCTTCTAAAAATGCTCACCGCCCCCTCCCACACACACACAATTCGAGAGGCAGAGAGCTTGCTCCCATCTACTGGTTCACTCCTCAAAGGCCCACAATGGCTGAGGCCCAAAGCCAGGAGCCGGGAACTTAACCCAGGTGTCCCATGTGGGTGGCAGGAACCCAGTTGCTGGAGCCATCATTGCTACCTCTGCACGGTCTGCATTGTCAGGAAAACGGCACTCAGGATCCAGAGCCGGGGATGTACCCAGGCACTCAGATATGGGGTGCAGATGCTCACGCCCCTAGTCTAAATGTCTGCTGCCAGTGTGTTCAGCCGTTATTAAAGAGCAGGGGTGTGTTCTCCAGATTTCAGCAACCTGTCACTTGTCCCAGTCAGCCCTGTGTCGAGATGATGAAAATGATAGCTAATATTAATTAGGGGAGTCCCATATGCCAAGCAGTTTTCTAAATAACCTTGTATCACTAAATCACACTAAATCATCAAGGCTTTTCAGTGAAGAAACTATGACTCAGGAGAGGTTAAATGATTTACCTAGAGCAAAGTTGCATTAGGATAAATGGGTTTATTGTCCCTTACATTCTGTTTTACTTACAGCTGTATCGGAAACCAAAAGTAAAATTGCGTTTTTTATTTGATACAGGCTCAACCTTTATCCTACACATCATCTTTCTGAAGGCACCCATTTAAGAACAGTGAGAAGTGTGAAATAGGTTAGGGAGCCCTTCCTTACCGAAGCTCGTGAGTGGAAAATGAGAGATCTGGATGACTTTCTGTGTGTGTATGTGCATGTGACAACGTCTGCATTGGTATTTATCGTCTGCTGCTTTATGACCAGGAATCAGCCTCGATTTCTGCCCACACTTTAATGCATTTGTGTGAGTCCTGGAGGTTCCCTCCAGAACACATATCTGATTGATCCACAGACCCATTGTTAGAATGTGATGGGATACTGGTCTTCTTGTCTGCACAATTGCAGTAGCTTCTTCATTGCTTCCAGCCTTTTACTGTTGCCCACCTACATCTTAAAGCATAACGAAGGTGATACTACTTTCCTTTTTTGTTTTCTAAGATTTATTTGAAAGGCAAAGAGATGGGAATGAGGGGTGGGGCGGAGACCGATCTTCCATCCACTGGTTCACTCCCCAGATGGCTGCAACATCCAGGACTCAAGCAGTAGCCAGGAGCTTCTTCCAGGTCTCCCACATGGGTGCAGGGGCCCAAGGACTCGGGCCATCTTCTGCTTTCCCAGGAGCATTAGTGGGGAGTTGAATAGAAGCGGAGCAGCTAGGACTCGAAGCAGTACCAGTGTGGGATTCGGACACTGCAGGCCGAGGCTTAACCTGCATCACAGCACCGGCCCCTGATGTTACTTTCCTGACTTACGCTCATCAGTAGCTTTCATTGCAGTTTAGAGAAAATATGTCCTGCCTTCAAGTCTTGCTTACTGTGCTTTACACACACTAACTTCCTTGTTCTTTATACTTAACCTAGATCATTGCCCTCTTGGATCTTCGCACCTACCTGCTGTTTCTTCTACTTGGGCTGCTGTGGTCATTGATGATCTTGTGCTGATTCCACATCATTTAGGTCTCAGTGCAAATGTTACCTCTCCGTGTAGCCTCTCCTGACTAATCTAGATGCTCTCCATATTAGCGAGTTTTATATTCTTCATAGTTTGTACCACTGTGAATGTGATGTTACTCATCTAACTTCTACATTGAACAATCTTAAATATTCAGAAGAGGGGTTGTGAACCCGTGACCCACAGTCCAGCTGTGTCCTAAAGACACCTTTTACTTAGCTTCTTCTGGTGTTCAAGTAGTAACTTGCAGCCCAGTGGATGGACCATAAGCATCTTACATGTCTAGTTAGATGACGTGCTCTTGTGTGCACACCCAGGGAACCTCTGAGATCCAGACTAGAACATTGTGCCTTTCAGATGACTCTGATAACCTCTCCAGTCACCTCCCTCCCACAGGAGAGCTTGCAGAGTTGCTTTTTATAATTTAGCTTCTGACATTTAAAAAATGGAATCTTCACATACAAATCCAGGATTCAAACAATTATTTTAAAATACAAAAACATGTCAGTGATGGACTTGCTTTGTCTTTTGACCACAGCTTGATTGTGGCTGAGAAGCAGCTGTCCCGAGTTCTGGCGTGTGTTCCCCAGTGTGCCTGCTGTCTCCTCTCCTCCTCTGTCTCCAGCATGGAAAGATTTCAGTTGCCAGTTGCCATTTACAGTTTCATTTGAATTGGTTTCCTTGTGATGGAGAAATGTTTCTCTTTCATTATGTCTTACGTATGTTACTTAGTCCATGTCATTCATTGGTATTGCTGGCTTGTAGGTCTTTGTTAGCCACCCTAATTCTACACAGTTGTGTTTCAGGGCAGCGCAGTGACTTGTTCTATTTATATATCACTTACCGACCTGGTCTTTTACTGTGCGACATGTTCTTTCATTTCTGGTGTCTTGATATTGTAAGTAAACTGTCAATGGATCTTTGTACACATAAACATGTATCTTTTGCTAGGATAAAACTTTAGAAATGGAATTTCTAGATGAAGATATGTTTTTATTTTTAGGCTTTTGATCCATATTGCCATATCACTTCATGGTAGTATAAATTTATGTAATCTGGAAAGCAGCGCATTGGAGTGTTCATTTCCCTCCATCTGTGCCAACACTGGGGATTGTAATTTAGAGGATAAGTTTTGCTAATATAAATAGTTAAGAAAAATGAACAAAAAGATGCTAGCCAAGAAATTTTTCATCTCATTTACATAGATAAGAGCTATACTTTTATTTTAAAGGATGTGATAGAGAAGTAGTACGTGGCTCTCCTTAGCTTTATCTTGTGAGCTAGAGAGTGATGCACCATTCTTATTCTCTGTGAAGTAACATGCATGCCCCAGGATGACTTGGGAAGCCTTTCGTCCTTGCCCTTACGTATTTTATTTAGATGTGTTTAATAATTACTATTAAGCTTTACCATGTTCTCTGTATCTGTACACAGGAAGAATAATACAAAATTTTTTCTATTTGGAGTACACACGACTTACACACTGATTTCATATTGACGTCCACATTTTAAAGTAGATGCTGTTCTGTCGTTTGGTTTCCAAGGAGATGCCTACCTGAAAGAGTGACGGCACTGGACCGCATGCCTCACTGCTGAACGATCCTCAGGTACCCTGGCTCTGGACATTGCTATGGGAGATTGGATGACTGTTACAGATCCAGCTCTGTCCTCAGGTAACCGAATTGGAAATAGCTGTGAACTGGAGTGGCCACTGTAAGAATAGTCACCACAAATAGTGAAGACGTGACTCGAGAGTATTGTAGATGGTTATGAACAACCTAATTTTCTTTATCTTCAGTAAAATTATCAGGGGAAGCTAAGAATGTGCCATAATTATTGGAGTTAAATGCCTTGGGTAGGTAACTTTATTGATGGTTATTATTTTGGGGGGAAATTTTTAGGCATTTGAAATATATTCAGTGGCTACTCTTTTTTTTAAGCTTTATTTTTTGATTTTTTTTTTTTTTTTTGGACAGGCAGAGTGGACAGTGAGAGAGAGAGACAGAGAGGAAGGTCTTCCTTTTCCGTTGGTTCGCCCCCGCAAATGACCACTACGGCCGGTGCGCTGCGCCAACCCGAAGCCAGGAGCCAGGAGCCTCCCCCTGGTCTCCCATGTGGGTGCAGGGCCCAAGCACTTGGGCCATCCTCCACTGCACTCCACTGCCGCAGGCAGAGGATTAGCCTAGTGAGCTGCGGCACCGGCACCCTGGGTTCTGGTCCCGGTCGGGGTGCCGGATTCTGTCCCGGTTGCCCCTCTTCCAGGCCAGCTCTCTGCTGTGGCCAGGGAGTGCAGTGGAGGATGGCCCAAGTGCTTGGGCCCTGCACCCGCATGGGAGACCAGGAGAAGCACCTGGCTCCTGGCTTCGTTCGGGTCGGCGCGGTGCACCGGCTGCAGCGGTCATTTGGGGGGTGAACCAACAGAAAAGGAAGACCTTCCTCTCTGTCTCTCTCTGTCCACTCTGCCTGTCAAAAAAAAAGAGGTTTCTCTGATTTATTTCTTTAATCATATAAACTTTGAATGGCACAAGTGGGTTTTGTCCTTTTTTTTTTTTAACATTTAAAAATTTTCCCACGTATTTTGAAAGACAACAGGTGACTCATCTTCTGGTTCACTCCTCAAGTGCCTACAGCCGGGATTGGGCCAGACTGACGTCAGGAGCCCTTAATCTGGGTCTCCTACATGTGTGGCGGGGATCCATTTGCTTGAGCTGATCACCCGCTGCCTCCCAGCATCAACCAGCAATTGGAATGGGGTATGGAGCCGGAGCTCAGACTTAGGCCCTGCTACATGGGTTGTGGGTGTTGCAGGGCCAAATGCCCACCCCTAGTCTGTTACTTATAAACATAAAGTAGTAAAAATTAAAGTTGTGTATTGTTAGTTAATATGCCTACTAAGAATACCATGTAAGTAGTAGTGTTTTGGAAAAAGGTAGTTTTTTATATAAAAATGACTGTATTTGAAAATAGTTAAAAATGAAAGTAATTCAAAATCTTTGGTAGTGGAAATTATGTTAGTTAATACCTTTTATTGATTTTTTTCAGAAAGCAAAAATATCTCTCAGTATACCTCAGAAACAAAGATGTCTCCATCAAGTTTATACTCACAGCAAGTGCTATGTTCTTCAATACCTTTATCAAAAAATGTGCACAGTTTTTTCAGTGCCTTCTGCACAGAAGAGAATATTGAACAGAGTATTTCATATCTTGATCAGGTAACATGTTTCTGTTATAAGGAATAGCAAGAATCACATAAAATAGAACACACTATGTTTACGAGAAAAACATTTGTCAGGTATGAATATCTTAACACATAGTGGCCCGGAGAATATTGAACAGAGTATTTCATATCTTGATCAGGTAACATGTTTCTGTTATAAGGAATAGCAAGAATCACATAAAATAGAACACACTGTGTTTATGAGAAAAACATTTGTCAGGTATGAATATCTTAACACATAGTGGCCCGGAGAATATTGAACAGAGTATTTCATATCTTGATCAGGTAACATGTTTCTGTTATAAGGAATAGCAAGAATCACATAAAATAAAACACACTATGTTTACGAGAAAAACATTTGTCAGGTATGAATATCTTAACACGTAGTGGCCCGAGACTTAGATTGGGTTGCTCTTAGACAACATTAGGTTGCTCTTCGGATCTAGATTTCAGATCGCCTTTTTTATTTGGAGCAGCTTGGCTTCCCCATTGCCCCAGGGGCTCCAACACAGAAAATCTTTATCAGTCCATTTTTCTGTTACTGTAACAAAATACCTGAGGGTAGTACTTTACATAGCAAAGAATTTTATCGAGCTTGCAGTTTTGGAGGCTGAAAATTCAAATTCAAGTGGCCCCATCTGTGTGCCCTCTTGGAAGGGCCCCCTTCACTGTGTTAATACATGGTTATGTCAAGAGCGGGGAGTGGGTGGGCTGGCCTCACTTTATAACAACCTGCTCTCGCAAGAACCTAAGTCACACTGCAAGCTCAGCATCAGCCCATTCCCAGGGCAGGGCTCCCATTCACCCACCTCCTAAAGGTTCTACTGCCTGTCCCATCACCACACAGGGACCAGGCTTCCAGCCCATGATCCCTGGGGAGAGTAACCATATCTAACCTCAGTGCCTAACTGCAGGTCACAGGTGGTCCTAGAGCTTAATTCTCTGTCCTTTGGGATGTTCACTGTTTCCTTAACTTGCTAAGGATATTTTTCTGTTTTTCTCAGAAAAGGTTTTTTGCTTACTATGTTGTCCACTAGCCAACTTAAAAAATTTAATTCTCATTGACAATTATGTGTGTATGTATCCTGTACAGTGTGGTGTTTTGAAATGTCTACATTGGGGGGTGACTGGTTGAGCTTTGGTATGTGTATGACCTCGCACCCTTACCACTTTCCGTGGTGAGACTACTTAGGCGATTTTCAAGAATATGGTGTGTTGTTACTCCCGACAGTCACCAAGTACAGTAGATCCCTTGAATGTCCTCTAACTGAAATGTTATATCCTTGGACTGACATCTCCTCATCTGTAAGCAACTTTAAAGAAAACATTTTCTCCTACCAGGAATTGACGACTTTTGGTTTTCCTTCATTATATGAAGAACCCAAAGGCAAAGAGACAAAGAGAGAATTAAATATAGTTGCTGTTTTAAATTGCATGAATGAGCTGCTTGTGCTTCAGCGGAAGAATCTTCTAGCTCAGGAGAATGTGGAGACACAGAACCTGAAATTGGGTAGTGACATGGACCATCTGCAGAACTGCTACACCAAACTGAAGGTAGAATGTGCACTTCCATCTGTATTTGCCATTTTATGTAATTCAGTACTGTGTATTTTCATTGGCTTTATTGAAGTGTTTGATAAATTTATTTAATACTATAAATTTTCATTTGCTTTTTCAAATTTTAGGGTTTAGGTTTTATTTAGTGACTTAATCTGCAGAAAGTTAGATTAGGAAGTATCTATGTTCTGAGGAAAATATGGCTTCCCCCAGTGCATCGAGTCTTGCTTAGTAAAGTTGAGTCTTCCCGAGAGAGGCTGTGTCATTTAATTCCACGGAAGATATTCCTGAGACCTCTTTGCCAAAGAAGTGAAAGCTTTCTAGAGCAGATAGGCTAGGTAACTTCTAACTCTTAGAAGTCCCTAGGGCTCTAGAATAAAAACACAGAAAAATGCTTCAGTAAACCAACTTTTCTCTGAAACAAGGAAGTGTTTTTACAGGGCCATGGTCATGCTGTCTTAAAATAGTGAATGTCCTAGTTTGCTTTCTTCATTTTCCTTCCTTTATTTCTTTTATGTCTTCTTCTAGAAAATAAAATACTCTGTGTGTGTGTGTGTGTGTGTGTGTGTTTATAAAATTTGGCAAGGAGAGGGAACAAGTATGGTGTGTCTTACTAAGGATGGAAGGCAATCAGTTCAAGCCAAAATTTTTCTGTAAGTAAGTCTATCTTAGATTTCCGTATGTGAAAATCAAAGCTCTTTCAATTTGTGTATGTTTGGTAAATCAGCTTCCTTTTGGTTTTTTGTCTGCTGATTCTTGCCCCTCTACCTTTTCTTGTTTTTCTTCCTGTATATCATCTTCTCCAAGGACAGATGAAACACAGCCTACCCGAATCTTGAGAGAATAATATCTGGGCACACTTGCCCATCTGTCTCTTCCCTTTTTTATTTTTCCCCCAGGATTGATTTTATTATTTGGAAAAAAAAAAAATCAGTGACAGAGAAAGGAAGAGACATACAGAGAAAGAGATCTTTTATCTACTGGTTCACTCCACAAATGGCTGTAATAGACAGAGCTGGGTCAGGTCAAAACTAGGAGCCTTGAACTCCATCCAGGTTTCACACATGGATGGCAGTGGCCTAAGCACTTGGGCCATCTTCACTGCTTTCCCAGACACCTTAGCAAGGGAGCTGGATTGGATGTGGAGCAACTGGGACTTGAACCAGCACTCCAGTATCGGATGCCGGGATGCTGTACCTTACGGGAGGTAGCTTAACTTGCTGTGTTACAAGCCAGACCCTGGCCATGTGTCTTGTAAGTGGCCAGTGAATAATTATATCATTATGTTACTAATCTGAGTCTGTCAAGTTTTCTACTTTAAAGGAAGAGTGGGGAACTTTTTTTCTGCTAAGGACCATTTGGATATTTATAATATCATTCATGGGCCAGACATAATTATTGACTTAAAAATTAGCCTGCTATCGATTTATTGAATTTTGAGTCTCACTTGCAGTTCCCTTGGCGGGGCCTGAGAATATGATTTCGTTGGCCTTTTGTGGCCTCCAGGCTGGACACTCTCCTCCCTTGCCATAAGGAGTGTTCATTTATTAGGACTACCCCAGAGCATAGAGTGTTTTTCCAGAATGTCTTCTAGATTCATGATGTCTGCCTGGGCCAGAATCTGTTCTTTTGGTTCAACCATGAGCAGAAATGTCTATTGAATGTTGTTCTATCCTTGAAAATTTCTCTATCTTGCATATGCTTTAATTTGTTGAGCAAAGTTTGTTGAGTTTTGTGTACTAGGCACTGAGTTTCGGAGATAATGAAACCTCGGGTCCCGCTCTCAGGTAGCTTGCAGGTCAGGGAAGGAGCCGCAGTGAGCTGGGATTATTTGTTTATTCATGGTTCTTGGTGCGGGGGAGGGCACAGAAGGCTTCACAAAGAGGTAAGGCTCCATCTGATAGTTGAAGAATGAAATGGAACTTTGTTAGTGTTTGGAAAAGACATACTGAGCAAGCTGAGTGGAAGCCTAGTGCGGCGGCAGGAGGGGAGAGCTGCACTGTCAGAGCACCAGCAGCTCAGTGCCTGCTGGGGTGTGTGATGGATCCGCAGACGAGAGCCTGGGCTCCACACGCCCTGAAAGGCGCCATCCAGAAAACAGGGACTCCCCAAGGGATTGTACATGGAAGAACTAGAGGAGGAGTGCAGAGCTGGATTTGGGACGGAGGTGGGAGCCCAGAAACCCTGGTGGCGAGGACATCCGTTAGCCAGTCTTTTTGGACTTGAACTAAAGTAGTGCCAATGAGGCCTCTAAGGATGGGATGTGGAGAATCTTTAGGAAATGAAGTGGGGAGCAGCTTATGGGAAATGGACTTTGGGCAGTAAGAGCCGTGGATTGAAGATGCCTCACAGGTCTCTGTCTGGAGTTACGGAGGGCGGCGGGACTTCCTGAGACAAGGAGGAAGCAGTGCCTAGTGGCAGTGCGCAGAGCAGGTAAAGAACCAACCCTTCACAGGCCCTGTGTACAAGCATGCAAGACTTGCCATTTAAGTTAAATATAGTTTAATATGCACATTTAAACAAATTGTATAGTGTTGCGCTTATAATGATCGCTATAAATACTTCATAGCCACTAAACTTCAATTTTAGCTCACAAATATTAGTATTTGTCACAACTTGTTGCTGAGCCTTCAAGAATTCAGTTCGGAATCCTTTGTTAACTTTAATCAGAATTACATATGGGTGTTTTAGGAACAGCTGGAAGCCTCCAGGAGAGAAATGATCGGGCTTCAGGAAAGAGACAGACAGTTACAATGCAAGAACAGGAATTTGCATCAGATGCTGAAAAATGAGAAAGATGAGGTGAGTGTGTACATGGGTTTAAGTGAAATTTTATTGTTTGTGTGTGAGATCTGACTTTAGAAAACAATGAGCCTGTTCATCCTATGTCTAATTGATATAGTGGACATCAGTGTATAAGATGGCATCATATTTAAAAGGTTGGCAACCCCCTCCCCCTGTGGCCCTCCAGCCCTGCCCCCAGTGGATCCATCCGATGCAGTATAGGTTGAGCATCGTGACCCAAAGACCTGAGATGTTCCAAAATGCAGAACAGTGTGACACAGAGCCACAGTGGGAAGTTCCATACCCGCCCTCACGTGATGGGTTGTGGTCAGAACAGGTCACTAAAAGCATTGTATGAGACCTTCAGCCTTTGTGTATAAGGTGTGTTTAAGGTGACTCCATCACCAAGAAATCTCACGTATATGTAGATATTCCCAAATCCAAAAACTGAAGCGCCTTTGGTTGCAGGCATTTGGGATAAGGGGTAGTGAGCCTGTACATTAACTACTTTAGGTGAGTGGCCTGTCCTTCCTGGACTCAAAGTCACTGTCTATTTTTCTCAGGCACGGGGGTCTGTAAATGCATCTTCTGTTCTCTGTCGTAATTGTGCTGCATCCCTGACACCTCTTCCTGTACTGTCGTAAATGTTGACATTGGTCACCCAGTGATTTGACTACATTGGCATACAAGAAACTCATATTACAAATCTTATTTCTAGGGAAAAGATACCATAATTCTAATTTCTCCTGCAATGGTTGCTTACTAGAATTCTAATTTCTGCTCTAATGGTTACTTAGAATAATGACATAAATCTTATTTCTATTTTAGTGGTTACTTGGACCTGTAGAGTTAATGCATTTGAAAATAATATTTTTAACTTGTGTAAGAAGAAATCTTTTTTGTTAAGATTTATTTATTTATTTGAAAGGTGGAGTTACAGAGAGGCAGAGGCAGAGAGAGAGGTCTTCCATCCATTGGTTCACTCACCAGATAGCCACAATGGCTGCAGCTGTGCTGATCTGGAGACTGGAGACAGGAGCCAGGAGCTTCTTCCGGGTCTCCCATGCAGGTGCTAGGGCTCAATGGCTTGGGCTATCTTCCACTGCTTTTCCAGGCCATAACAGAGAGCTAGACTGGAAGTGGAGCAGTTGGGACCCGAACAGGCACCCGTATGGGATGCCGGCACTGCAGGTGGCAGCTTTACCCGTTGCACCACAGTGCCAGCCCTGAAATCATTGTTTTTATTACTCTGTAGTATGATCTCTAATTATGTAATACATGTAAAAATATAATTCTTAATTTCAGTGTTTTATAGATTTTAACTATAATTAAAGACTTTTAGGAGAGTGTATTTCTTTAAAAAGACCCTTGAAGTGATTTAGATATGTATTTTGCCACATTGGTTATTAAATAGTATATTTAGTTAGTGAACAGTTAATCTCTTAACCAAATATTAGTTGTTTATACATATTCCTTAAATATTTCACAGAAAAGTTGAACTTGATTTGTTGATTACACTTAAATGGTTGGAATGCAGTTCATCTTTGGTTTTGGTTCAGTCAGTCGTGTTAGTTTCCCGCAGAGATTGGGAATGGCTGTAGAGTGGAATGCAGTTCCCTAAGAGGTGCTGCCCGAGAAGCTGTAGTAGATACAAACTTGGAACAGTGTGCCTGGCACATTGTAGGTGCTCAGCAAAGCTTTGAACTGGGCTTACTCTGTCTTGAGAATGGTTTACCTGATGCCAGGTGCCACTGGCTGGTAGACTTTGTCAGATATTGATGAGAGGTAAAGCGATTGCAAGTCAGTATAAGGAGGTCACTCCAAACGATCTGATAAATCCTGGTAGTTTCAGATGAAGCCTTAATCATCTTGATATTTATGGAAGAGTTTCTAGTTTCTACATTATCAGAGTCTATATGTAAAGTAAAAGGTGTAGTGTATAATTTAGCAAGTTGAAATGTCTGCAGATTATGAGAATAAAAACTATGTGATTCATTTAATGTTTATTTTTTAAAATAAAGATTTGTTTACAGAGAGGGAGGGACAGCCATCTGCTAGTTCACTCCCCAGATGGCCTGGGGTTGGGCCAGGCTGAAGCCAGGAGCCTGACATTCCATGCAGGTCGCCCATGAGGGTGGCAGAGGCCCCTGCACTTGGGCCATCTTGCGCTGCTTTCCCAGGCATATTAGCAGGGAACTGGATCAGAAGTGGAGCGGCTAGGACTTGAACCCACACCCATATGGGATGCTGGCATTGGCATCACAGGTGTGGCTTAACCCACTGGTCAGCAACGCTGGCCCTCCTTTAATGTTATCTTAAAAAATGGTTTCAAGTGGTTACAGACAAGGAAGAGTCATCCTAGAATTTTAAAACTGTTATATGGGGAGATAAATGCTAAGACTGCTTTCTTGTAAATACAGATTTTTAACTGGGTTCATCAATCCTCATTTGATGAAAAATGCTCTTTTCAGGTACAAAAATTACAGAATATCATTGCAAGTCGAGCTACTCAGTATAATCATGATATGAAAAGAAAAGAACGTGAATATAATAAATTAAAGGAACGTCTACATCAACTTGTTATGAACAAGAAGGATAAAAAAATAGGTAAGAGGCTGGATAAGATGAGTACACTCCTGGAATAAATAAGCTTATGTTAAGAAATGTAAAAGGATTCGGCACAATGATTTATGAAGCCATATTCACGCTTTGTGCAATTGATTTTAAATGGTGTGCAACCATATAAACCAGAAATTTAGACAACTGCTTTTTGAAAAATAAGTCATTTTGCTTTGTTGCACTAGTTGCACATATTGTTTTAACATGTCAGGATTAAGCCATGAAGGAAAAACAGCCAGAGGACTATCTAATCTTCCAAAGCAAGGAACCAATAATAGTAAAAATCAGTATCAACTTCCAAGTACACAAAGAAAAATGAATTTAGAGTTAACATCGTAAAATTGTTCCTCAGACCGAATCAGTTATACCAGCTGAGTTCCTTTCAGTAAGTTTGTGCATTTTTGAAGCAGCTAGTCAAAGGGTAGAGTGAAGAAGTTATCGGTGTGTATAGAGGGTCTGCTTTGTCTAGTAGTATTCTCTTCAACTATAATTTACAACTGTTTCAAGTACTAGTGTATATATCATTTCAAGTAAATAGGGTAGATTATGAAATAAAACCACACACACACACAAGTAGAATTACACAGTACACATTGTGTTGGCCAGATATGATCCAGGAACAAGAATCCTGTACATTTACTTACTGAATGTTGGTTTCCCAGTGGGTTGTATGCAGGCCTCTAGCCAGCATGCAGTGGGACTCCTAAATTGTCTTTCCAAAACTGAACGTGGATTTCAGCACCAGCTGATGAACATATGTTTCAGGCTGTCACATAGTGAGTTCTGCCTGCTGGCAGCATATTGACTGTATCACTGTCACTCTCTGTAGCAGAGATGTTGTAGTTATTTGAATATTTTATTTTTAAAGTTACTGAAAAATATAAAGGTGCAATAATAAGCAGTTAACATAAGAGGAATCTTTAAGTATTCTGAGTTAATAAATCTTTTTTTGAGAACATTGATTTTTAAGGTTGGTTAGCCTTGAATTCATTCATGAATGAAACAGCGGGTGAAATCCTGGAGGTATAGGAGTAACATCTAGCTAGAGAAGTTTGAAGATTTCACTATGGAGACAGAGTGGTTAGGGCCTTAGCTGTTTCCCCATCCATAACAATTGGAAGTAACAATTTCGTACTGATTTTATTGGCTCTAAAATTAGATTAGCTTACATTTACTTCTTTATGCCGAATTCTTCCACGTGTACCTGGGGCAGAAGATATAATCCTGTCAGGGGCCTTACATCCTTTGATGATGATGATGATGTTAACAGGATGTGGCACACTTTCTATTAAGGTCCAAATAGTAAGTATTTTCTACCCTGTGGGGTCTGCAAGTCTTGTTGCATCTAGTTAATCTCTGTCATTGTAGTGAAAAAGTACCTGTAGACAATATGTAAACAAATGATGGTCCAGGAAAACTTTTTTTTTAATTTTTATTTATTTTTTTAAATTTTTTTATCTTTTTTATTTTTTTGACAGGCAGAGTTAGACAGTGAGAGACAGACAGAAAGAAAGATCTTCCTTTTTCCATTGGTTCACCCCCCAAATGGTTGCTATGGCCAGCGTGCTGCGCTGATCCTAAGCCAGGAGCCAGGTGCTTCCTCCTGGTCTCCCATGCGGGTGCAGGGCCCAAGGACTTGGACCATCCTCCACTGCCTTCCCGGGCCACAGCAGAGAGCTGGACTGGAAGAGGAGCAACCGGGACAGAATCCGATGCCCCAACCAGGACTAGAACCCAGGGTGCCGGTGCCACAGGCAGAGGATTAGCCTAGTGAGCCACGGCGCCAGCCCAAGAAAACTTTTATTTACAAAAACTGTAGTTTGCAAACCTCTGATGATGACATTATTAATGATAAAATAACATTTATTTTGTATTTACTGGGTACCAGATACTGTGTTCACCCATACTGTGTTATGTGCTTTAATATTTTTTTTTTCAATTTTCACAACTCCTCTTTGGTAGGTACTTTTGTGATTCCCATGGTATGAATGGAGAAACAGATTTAGCAGTTAAATAACTTGCCTAGATCTCAGTACTTACAGGTACTAGAACTAGAACTCGAAATTCGGCTGCTTGAGGTAAACCCTAAGCTATGTCCCTAGTATGTTTAGAGTGCATTGGAGTTTTAAACACTTAAATATGTATGGTGAGAATTTGTTTTGTGTGTTCATGTTTGTGTAGCCATGGACGTTTTAAATTATGTGGGGAGAGCTGATGGAAGAAGAGCCTCGTGGAGGACTGGTAAAACTGAAGCCAGGTTAGTGCGATTTGCGAAGACAGATTGTCAGACCTGATGTTCTCTGCACTGTGTTTTCATGCTGATGGTTTCTTTCTCAGGAATGAAGATGAAATGTATAAGATTCTCTTGAATGATTATGAATATCGTCAAAAACAAATCCTAATGGAAAATGCTGAACTTAAGAAGGTTCTTCAACAAATGAAAAAGGAAATGATTTCGCTTCTTTCTCCCCAAAAGAAGAAACCCAGGGAACGAGCGGATGATAGTACAGGAACTGTAAGTGGCTCTTTCCTCTCTTCCACGGGCTTCAGATTGCTGGTCAGAGCAGTGAAGACTCCAGACGAGTATTGCAGGGTGTTAGGAATAAGGTGGCTCCTCGCTCTGTGCAGCCTGCCGTCAGCGTGGCAGCCATGAACCGCTGCTCCTGTGTTTGCAGACGTGCCCCGGGAAGTGATGGAGCTGACTCTCGGGGACTTCAGCTGCGCTCAGCGCTGTGGTAGACACGTGATAAGCACTGTCACGTTTCCTGACATTTCTCACGTGAGAAATGGCTTCAGATACTGTAGTCATCTGACGACCAGGTACCACGCCTCTGCCAGTGTTGCAGACGAGGGCTCAGGCGCAGTGGTTACTGCTCAGCGGTACGCAGGCCAGAACTCGGCCTTGACGCCAGCTTCCCCGCTCACGAGCACAGAGCTCGCGGTCGGGGCCGCTGGGCCGGGTGTCCTGTCAGGTGTCCAGGTGTCATGCACTCTGCTTCTCAGACAGTGAACTTGTGCCAACTTTGGAAACTGAGCATGAATTCATTGAGTGTTCGTTATGTTCTCTTCTCTTGGGAGAAAAAAGGATTTAGACTTTTTTTTTCCTGAAAATTCTCTTTTTGGGTGAGATATAGAGCAATGATTATTTTTTCTTGTGTTAGGTGCTGTGGTAAGCTGGTGCAAAATGTAAAAGAGACCAATTTTCATGGCAGTAAAGGAATGCGAGAGAAAGTGACATTTGACTTAGTTTTTAAGAAACAAGTAGGTGTTCTTGAGCCAGAGAACATAGTGAAAGCATTTGACACGGGGATGATAAATGCAGAGGTCTGAAGACAGAACAGTGAAAAATTCTTTTTACTTAATGCTTTACATATAATTTAAATTCCATTTTCCACAAAGTTCACATTAGGGATTACAGTCTGAAAATGACAGTGTTGATGGAAAATGCTAGTTACCAGCAAGTCACCAGAACTTGGGTTTTTTTTTTTTTTTTTTGACAGAGTGGACAGTGAGAGAGAGAGAGAAAGGTCTTCCTTTTGCCATTGGTTCATCCTCCAGTGGCCACCGCGGCCGGAGCACCACGCCAGTCCGATGGCAAGAGCCAGGTACTTATCCTGGTCTCCCATAGGGTGCAGGGCCCAAGCACTTGGGCCATCCTCCACTGCACTCCCTGGCCACAGCAGAGGGCTGGCCTGGAAGAGGGGCAACCGGGACAGAATCCGGCGCTCCGACCGGGACTAGAACCCGGTGTGCCGGCGCCGCAAGGTGGAGGATTAGCCTAGTGAGCCGCGGCGCCAGCCCAGAACTTGTTTTTTAAACCTGTATCTGAGGATTATTTGTTTTATGCTATCACAGATCCAGCAAACAGATAAGCCCATCCCACATCCGTTGTTTGCCCCTTAAAGTTTTATATATGCACTGTAAGGTAGAGCACAGCAGTGAGTTTGGTGAGGCCGTCGAGGTAATGGATCTGATGACTGCTGCCTGAGTGTGAACGCCGTGTCGGGATCCTGGTCTTTCCTTTGCGTGCCTCTCGCCACTTGCAGGTCATCTCTGACGTGGAAGATGATGCCGGGGAACTAAGCAGAGAGAGCGCGTGGGACCTTTCCTGTGAAACCGTGAGAGAGCAGCTGACCAACAGCATCAGGAAACAGTGGAGGATTCTGAAAAGTCACGTAGAAAAGCTCGACAGCCAAGGTAGCTACTGCCTCTCGGCAGGCAGCGTGAGTGGTGACGCGTCCTGCGCCGCTGTCTTCAGTCGTGCTGCTCACACTTGGAGTGCCGTAGCTCAGTTTGGCGATTTGAAAGCAAGATTTTGCCTGCTTTCAGACATGGCGTTTGAATCTCACCAAGAGAAACGCACTTTGCTCTCAGTGCGACTCTTTCTTTAAAGGAAGGTGCTGTGTAGCCATCTGCTCTGAATTGCCTTATACAATGGAATCAAAAGACCAGAATCTTCTTTATTAAATCTTGAAAATCAAGAAATGTTCATCATCATGTACTGTGACCTTTTGCTTCTTCCCAGATCCCTTAGATTACTAAGTTCCTAATAATTCATTTAAAAATTATTTTCAAACTAAATGATGTTAGGGCAGCTTTAGGCCTGGTGGGTGGGATGCCACCTGGGACATCCTCATGCCGTATCAGGGTGCCTGGTTTGAGCCCCGACTCTGCTTCCAGTTCCAGCTTCTGCTCATGTGCACTCTGAGAGACAGCAGGTGATGGCTCAAGTGGTTGAGCTCGTGCCACCCATGTGGGACACCTGGATGGATTTCCTGTCTCCTTTTGCCCCAGCCCAGTCTCAGCCATTGTGGGCGTTTGAGGAGTGAACTAGTGGATAGCAGCTCTCTTTGTCTGTCTCTTCCTCTCGATAAATTAATTAATTCTAAAAAGAATATATTTATCAATGCAGAATTATCTTTAAGGATAGGGAATGATGTGTAAAATAGGTGAAAAATGCACACAGAAAAAATATGTAATACTCAATTTTTGCTCATGTGTTTTAAAGTAAATATTTTACAGATCCATAAGGAAAAGTCTAGAAAAATAAAGACCAAATTGTTCAGTGTTATGTACAGAATAGAGACCGGAATATTCTATTATATATACTTTTTTTTTTTATTACAACTTGTTTATTTGAAAGGCACAGGTGCAAAAAAGGGGTGGGAGGGAGGTGGGGGGGGCGGGGGGAGAGAGTGATTGACTGACTTTCCATCTGCTAATTCATTTCCCAAATGGCCACGGTGGCCCCGCATGAGCTATCCTGGAACTCCTTCCTGGTCTCCCACATGGTGGCAGGGCCCAAGCATTTGGGCATCTTCTGCTGCTCTCCCAGGCTCATTAGCAGGGAGCTGGATCAGAAGTAGAGCAGCTGGGACTTGAATTCATACCCATGTGGGATGCCAGCATACAGGCAGCAGCTTAACCCACTGCACCACACGTTGGTAGTATAGATATACTTTCTAATTGATATTTTGCATTGTTAAATAAAGTTTCCATGCTTTAAGTCAGGAAAGTTAGTTATATGCTCAAAGATGAAGCCTTTTAGAAGAAAATGTAATATAAATTGTTGAAATCACTAACTCAATGTCAACTTACATAGCATTCAGCAAAATTATTATGGAAATTAATTTACATGAAATTTTATTCATTTGAATTATCATTGTCTATTAATAGCAAATATGTTTTTTTTTAAAGATTTATTTATTTATTTGAAAGAGTTACACAGAGGAGAGGCAGAGAGAGAGAGAGAGGTCTTCCATCCTCTGATTCACGCCCCGGTTGGCTGCATCAGTCGGAGGTACGCTGATCTGAAGCCAGGAGCCAGGAGCTTCTGGGTCACCCACGTGGGTGCAGGGGCCCAAGGACTTGGGTCATCTTCTACTGCTTTCCCCAGCAATAGCAGAGAGCTGGATCAGAAGAGGAGCAGCTGGGACTCAAACCGGTGCCCATACGGGATGCCGGCGCTTCAGGCCAGGTTGTTAACCTGCTGTGCCACAGCACCAGCCCTAGAAAATATGTTTGAACTTCTTATTTGTTGAATTTAATGAGAGCAAGATTTATAGCACAACATTTGATGCAATATCAACAAGAACATGGTTTATGAATTTGTTATTTTTCTTTTATGAATATAGCCATGTTAGCTGATTTTACTTAGCACATAGTCTTATATATATATCAATTACCAGTTAAATGTGGCAGTTGTACTCCATTGTAAGGATGTCATTTAGTCCTAAAATTGTACAAGTACACAAATTGTATAGTTGCCATGCATTCCTCATAGGTGCTGTGCTTTTTGAAATTTTTTCATAGTTTTAAGATTTAGTGTTATATAGCTTGTGATATTTAAAAAGGCCAAAGGAAATAGCTACGTTTTAGAAAACCTATAAGATTATAGAAAAAGTTCTGAAAGTCTTGATTTTGGGGGCTGGCATTGTGTAGCAGCATCCTACATGGGCTTGGTTTTGAGTCCCAGAAGCTCCACCTTGGTTTCATCTCCTTGCTTATGTGCCTGGGAAAGCAGCAGAAGATGGCCCAAGTACTTGGGCCCCTCACCCATCTGTGGAAGATCTTTCTGTAACTCTGACTTTCAAATAAATGAAATAAATCTTTAAAAAAGAAGAAAAAAGAAATGAGTGTGCTGAGATAATTTGTGGGGAAGAAAAGAAAATATTGATTTTTGTTTTTTAAATATATATCCAAAAACACCAAAGACTAAAGACTGAATGATAGCTATTAAACCTGTGTCAATTTGCTGGTTTTTTTTTTTTTTTTCTGTGTGTATATGTTAGTTTCTAAGGTACATGTAGAAGGTTTCAATGACGAAGATGTCATCTCACGACAAGACCACGAACAAGAAACTGAAAAACTCGAGTTAGAAATTCAACAATGTAAAGAAATGATTAAAACCCAGCAGCAACTTTTACAGGTAAATGTGAATTACCTGTCAAGGCTCCAGTTTTATACTCTTACAAGATTTTTATTCCTTTATTTCATAAAGATCGATAGTATGTGACATTGTCCCAATGTAAACTAACTTGTCTGCCAACGAATATGTCACCATTCCTTAATTAGTCCGGACTTTGCCGGGTGGGGTAGTAGCACTTGAGAAAGGAGGCTGCTCACTTGCTTTTGTTGGTGATTTCGGTCCTTGCCCTAAAATTTGACCTCAGCCCTGGCTTGCTTTTCGTCTTGTTGGGGTGTTGCTGGGACCCACTGGGACTCACTAGCTTTTGAAATTTAATAGCAGCAGCTCGCTACTGCATGTGATGATGATACCACTTCACTATTGCGTGACTGTTACCTACTGGAAGAAAAAGAACGCCTCAAGGAAGAGTGGTCCCTTTTCAAAGAGCAAAAAAAGAATTTTGAGCGAGAAAGACGAAGCTTTACAGAAGCTGCTATTCGCCTAGGATTGGAGGTACTTTTTTTTTTTTTTTAAAGATTCATTTTACTTATCTGAAAGAGTTACAGAGAGAGGTGGAGACAGAGAGAGAGGTCTTCCATCCACTGGTTCACTCCCCAGATGGCCGCAATGGCCGGAGCTGCACCAATCTGAAGCTTCTTCCAGATCTCCCACGTGGGTGCAGGGGCCCAAGGACCTGGGCCATCTTCTACTGCTTTCCCAGGCCATACCAGAGAGCTGGATCGGAAGAGGAGTAGCCGGGACTCGAACTGACGTCCATATGGGATGCCGGCGCCTCAGGCCGGGGCTTTAACTTGCTGCGGCACAGTGCCGCCCCCTGGAGGTTCTGTTAAAAACTTCCAGGGTCTTGAAAATTCAGGGGAAAGGTCGATGCTCTGCATTCTGCTTTTAGTTGCTTCTTTGCCATCTCAGTTCTTTCTAAAGTAGTTAATAAATAACTTGCAAATGAAGGGAGGCTGAACATGCAAACTATTGCAGAGTGGTGTCTTTTCCCCCTTGCCAGACTTAGAAACGGACATTTTTTTGAAAACTGTTTAGCATTCATTCACTCCTGCAGACTGACTTTCTACTGTTAAGTATTTAGTTTCACATAGAAGATGATACCTTTTGGGCTCAGTAGTGTGGTATCAGAAGACAGTGTGCCTGTCTCCATTCTGCCGCCCATCAGCCGTAGGCAGTAGCAGTGTGGTTTGCTGCATAGACGGTGCAATTCTGAAGGTGGCCTTTGTTGTTGGTAACAATGTATTATGCCTATGTAGGAGGGGACCTCAAAAAGTTCATGGAAAATTTGCATCTTTTAATTTCATTTTTCCATGAACTTTTTGTTGCCGCCTCTTCTTTCCCTTTCAAAAATAGAGATGTAACATCTGCACATAGCTAAAAAAATTTTTTTAAATTCATACCAAAAGTTACAAAGCGAGAAAATGTCCTCCTTCTTTATTCCACACTTGCACCCAACATTTCTGTTAGTACTTCTTCTGGGAAGTCCCATTTGATGGTTAAATTTTCTTTCTTGATAGTGGTCTGTTCCCTGCCATGAAAAATATTTAGTGTCCTTCTAGTGCTTTCCATCTACACTCTTCCTCTTCCGCATCTGATTTTTCCTTAATACTGTTATTTTGTTGTTCTGTTTGTTTTTCTTTAAATAAATAAATAGTGTGTGTAATGCTTCTTTTGTGTACTTGTTCCATTTCAGACAATGTCAGTTTCTTCCTGCAGAGAAAGATGCAGGAATTCTGGGATTTATCTTTGTTCCACCTCTCTTGCTGCTCTACTTTTCAATTTGTTTGTGATATTGTTTTTCATTGCCAAGTATTAACACACTTAAATTCTATCCTTTAGTATAAGTAATATGTCTAAACTTGAGACTTACAAGTTGAAAGCCAAGCTAAAGGGGCAGGCATTTGATGCAGTGGTTAAGATGCCACTTGGAAAACCTGCATCACATATTGGAGTGTCTGGATTGACTCCTCCCAATTCCAGCTTCCTGTTGATATTCACTGGAGAGAAAGTAGGTGATGGTTTAAGTAGCCGGGCCCCTGCCACCCATGTGGGAGACCCTTATTGAGTTCTGGGTTCTCCTGGCTTTGAAAGCCTGGCCTTTCCTGGGCTGTTGTGGGCATTTGTGCAGTGGGCCAGCAGGTAGAAGATCTCTGTTTCTGTCTCTTTTTATAATAAATAAAAATAAAACTTAAAAAAAAATTCTGAGATCTTCTCTTACCTTTATCTTGTGGGTCACCAAACTGCTTTTCAGGATCAGTATTTTTCTTGCTTTAGCCCAAGTTTTATTTCGTAATTTATCCTGTAAATGACCTAATGCCCTTAATTTTTGTTCTCTATATAATATTGTTATTATACAAATGTTTATTAACCTGTTTCTTGTTACCTTTTTTTTTTTTTTTTTTGGACAGGCAGAGTAGACAGAGAGAAAGGTCTTCCTTTGCCGTTGGTTCACCCTCCAATGGCCGCTGCGGCCAGCACTCTGTGGCCAGCGCACCGCGCTGATCCAATGGCAGGAGCCAGGTGCTTCTCCTGGTCTCCCATGGGGTGCAGGGCCCAAGCACTTGGGCCATCCTCCACTGCATTCCCGGGCCACAGCAGAGAGCTGGCCTGGAAGAGGGGCAACCGGGACAGAATCCAGAGCCCCAGCCGGGACTAGAACCCGGTGTGCCGGTGCCACAAGGCGGAGGATTAGCCTAGTGAGCCACGGCGCCGGCTCTTGTTACTTTTTAAAAAAAATTTTTTTCTTCTCTTAAATGGTTATCTATGGTAAATTATCTGTCTTGGCGTTTTTCTCATAACGTTCTTTCTTCCAATGCCAATGCCCGATTCCATATTCATATTTATGAGTGAAAGTTCGTGTGGGTTATTTTGAGTAGCTGACATGAATGTCCTCCACAGCTGTGAAAGTCTACTTCATCAGTTGCTGTCTTCCTTAGGAAGCAAAGCCAAGTTGTTGTCTCCGGCCTTAGGAGATCATCCCTGTTTCTGAGGCTTTATCTCCAGGCTGCTCCAAGAGATATTCTTGGTGCTTTGCATATCACTCCCCTTGCCTGGGGCCTTTCCAGAGTCCGGCTCCTGTGGTCCCTGTGGTCCCTGGGCGCAGTGAGGGGCGGAGGGTGGGGTTCGGTTTAGGACCCCTTGCTGGTGGGGAAGGGGGAGGTCTGACATCATCTGCACAGGCTCTGTGGTTTAGTTGTCCTGGCTCCTAGGATTAGTAGGTGGCTAGAGAATGAGAAATGCTTGATGAAGCCCTCATGGCTTTTTTTTTTTTTTTTTTTTTTGGGAAGTGATTAATTTATAGTACAGGATATTTTTCTCATTTGTAATTTCATGTTTTTAATAGTCTGCTTATTCAACAGGTTAATATTCTGTTCCATTTTTTTGTATTGTCTATTTGAATTCAAAATTGATATGATAGTGGCTGGTGCTGTGGCTCAGCAGTTTAAAGCTGCAGCCTGCAACGCCATTATCCCATATGGACACCGGTTCATGTCCCGGCTGCTCCACCTCTGATCCAGCTCGCTGCTAATGGCCTGGGAAAACAGTGGAGTATGGTCCAAGTGCTAGGGCCTCTGCACCCACGTGGGAGACCTGGAGGAGGCTTCTGACTCCTGGCTTCAGCCTGGCCCAGTCCTGGGTGTTGTGGCCATTTGGGGGGGTGAACCAGCAAATGGAAAATCTCTGTCTCCTCTCTCTGTAACTCTGCCTTTCAATTAAATAAATACATCTTTTGAAAAAAAATGATGTGATATAGTGCTTGATGGCTTATTACGTAAAGTAGACTTTTTTTTTTTTTAAATTTAAAAGTAAGATTTATTTAAGTCAGAGACCTCCAGCCAGAGTAGCCTGGCAAAGCCCAAAGGGACTGGTGGTAGTGGGGTTTTTAAGCACAATTTTGGGAAAAATAGAGTAATATTTTATAGATCATTCAAAAGGCAGAATGCCTTTGGAGAAAGAGAGCAGGGCTCGGACAAAGCCAGGAGCTCTGTCTAGATCTCCCTTATGAGTAGTGGCAGGAACCTAAGTATTTGGCCCTCATCCGCCCCCCAAGTACATTAGCAGAAAGCTAGATTGGAAGCAGAGGAGCTGGGACTCCAGGATGAGATCCAGACATACTGAGCAGAAGCCACAATGCCCACTTCTAAATTTTATTTTTAAATGTACAGTTTTTATTACATGGAAATTCTGAGTTTCTGCATGAGTTCATGCAAGACCTATGTCTAAGGGCAGCCTTTTGGCTTCGCAGTTAAGGTGCTGATTGGGATGCACAGTGCCTGGCACCTGGGTTCTGGTTCCCGCTCTACTCCAGATTACAGCTTCCTGCTAAGTGCATCTTGAGAGGCAGCAAGTGATGGCTCAAGTAGTTGGCTCCTGCCACATGTCTAGGAGATCCAGGTTGAGTTCCTAGCCCAGTTGAAGCTGCTACAAGCATTTGGGGAGTGAACTTGAAAATGGAAGCTTTCTACCTCTCAAAATAATAACAGATTTTCTAGTGTGTTATTTTTTAAAAAGATTTATTTGAAAGGCAGATTGAGAGAGAGAGAGAGCTTCCATCTGTAGGTTGACTCCCTAAATGGCTGTAATGGCTGAAGCTGGGCCAGGCTGAAGCCAGGAGCTTCATCTGGGTCTCCCATGTGGGTGCAGGGGTCCAAGCACTTGGTCCAGGTCCGCAGCTTTCTCAGACCATAAGCAGAGAGCTGGATGGGAAATGGAGCAGCCAGGACTCCCTGGTACCCATATGGGATGCCGGAGCTGCATATGGTGGCTTTGTCTACTACACCACAGTGCTGGTCCTGCCTGTTGTTCTTTAAAATATATATTCATGTAGTTAGGCGGCAAGCAAACACGGACAGCTAGATAAATCGTGAAATGGCAGCTGTGTGGATGTTGACATACTGATCGCTATTTCTTTGGTTTGTTACGGTAGAGAAAGGCATTCGAAGAAGAAAGAGCCAGTTGGTTAAAGCAGCAGTTTTTAAATATGACTACATTTGACCACCAGAACTCAGAAAATGTGAAACTTTTCAGTGCCTTCTCAGGAAGTAAGTGCCTCACACACTCTTGTCTGAACACACACTTAAATAAAGCGTACAGCTCTCTAATTGGAACTAAAAACCAACTTTAATATTTTACTTACTGTAGCTCCAGTGGGAATGATAGGACAGTGCATGACTTTCATAACTTTTGTTCTAAGTGTGTGAGAATGTCACGTTTGACAATTTAGTCTAGAACTATAATTTTACAAATCTACATCCTTCAAAAATTTACAGAATATGCAACAGAAATCATGGAATTAGTGAAGTTCAGATTAATGTTTTCTGTCTTTTACCTCCCTCAGAACCCCAGTGAATCTTGCTAGTACGTTACCTTGTTTACATTTAACACCACAGCATGTGTACTGCCTGTTTTCATTTTTTTTTTTAACAGGTTCTGATCGAGACAATCTTATAATGCACTCGAGGCCACGGCAAAAGAAGCCTCATGGCGTGTCTAATGGGTCTCCGGTCTGCACGTCTAAGCTGACTCAGTCTCTTCCTGCTTCACCTTCCAATTCAGACTTCTGCCAGACACGTTCCTGTGTGTCTGAGCACAGGTATTTGTCTACAGCTCACATACTTCTGAAAATCACTGAATTTGCGCAGCTAAGGAAAGATTGGCTTATCTGTAGTATTAGCAACAATAGAAGCTTTGAGGAGGAAGTTAGTGGATTTTTTTTTTTTCGGATTTATTTAAAAGAGTTATAGAGAGAGAAGGAGAGACAGGGAACGAGAGAGACAGAGAGATCTTCCAGCCACTGGTTCACTCCCCAGATGGCTGCAACAGCTGGGGCTGAGCCAGGAGCCTCATCTGAGTCTCCCATGTGGGTGGCGGGGGCTCAAACACTTGGGCCAATTCTCTGCTGCTTTTTCCAGGCCATTAATTAGCAGGGAACTGGATGTTAATGGGATGCCCATGTCACAGGGGTGGCTTTAGCCACTGTGCCACAACACTACTCCAGTAGATTGATTTCTTCATTATACAACTAGTTATTGGTGTCCAATATACATAGGGATTGGGCGAGGATGCTGGAGATATAGTTTTGAACAATGTACATCTGATCTCTGTCTTCTTAGAGCTAAATCATAGAATGTGTAACTTTTTTTAAAAATTTATTTGACAGAGTTATAGACAGGGAGAAAGGTCTTCCTTCTGTTGCTTCAACCCCCAAATGGCCACCATGGCTGGCACTGCGCCAATCCAAAGCCAGGAGCCAGGTGCCTCTTCCTGGTCTCCTAGGCGGGTGCAGGGGCCCAAGCACTCAGGCCATCCTCCACTGCCCTCCTGGGCCACAGAGAGCTGGACTGGAAGAGGAGCAGCCAGGACTAGAACCCGGCGCCCATATGGGATGCTGGCACCGCAGGCAGAGGACTAACCAAATGAGCCACGTTGCCAGCCCCAGACTGTGTAACTTTTAAGTTCATGTTTAAAATTGTTTCATTTCCAAGAGTTACATAATAAGTACTTTAGTTACAAGGATATTGTTTTGAAAGGTTTTGTAGAGTGCAAATTTTCAGGTTCTTTTTGGTGTGCCCATTTCATTGGTGTTGAAGGGCGGCAGAACTGGGAAAAACCTGTGCAACTTGAATGATAAAAAAAATCTCTGCCCAAGGGTGACAGTGATAAAAAGCTTGCTCTGTGTCCCCAGAAAATGCATATATTGCTGCGTTTTTGCATTTTCCTCTATCGCTAAATCATTTTCTTAAATATAATGTTAATGCTCTGCCTCAGGGCCGATTCCAAGATTAATTTTGAACTGAGCATAGGAAGCCAAGAGAGTATCCCTAGTACGATAAAGAGCAGCCGGGGCAGGTGCTGTGGTGTGATGGATTAAACCATGCCTGGGGGCTCCCATCTCCTGGACCACGTGCCTGGGATGGAGCCTCAGCTATTCTGTGCTTCCAGCCCAGCCTCCTGCTAGTGCATGGGGGGGGGGGGGTGCAGCAGAGATGGCTCAGGGCTTGAGTCTCTTTGGTCTCCCGTTGCCCTGGCTGTTGCTGCCATTTGAGGGGTGAACCTACAGGTGAAAGATCTCTCTCTGTGTGTATCTGCCTCCCTCTCTGTCATTCGACCTTCCAAACAAATAAATACATCTTTAAAACAAAAAGATAGCAAGGAATAGGAAAGATCAAAGGGGAAGTTAGCAAGTGCAGTGATAATCTTTCCTCTTAATTAAAGTAGGAGACAGGGTCCTGAGGGCCTGCAGTTTTTCAGGCGCCTTGGAAAGAGGAGCCAGAGCTGCAGCAGGCTTGGCCCTTGGCAGTGAGAGATCGTCCTGGAGCTGGCTCTCAGGCCAAGATTTGTGAAATAGATTGTAAAACAGCATATGAAGCTTTTAAAAAGGAGGACAAGACAGTGCGATTTGTAGTTGCCCTCAGAGGCAGGCAGGACTGGGACTCCAAGCACTGGCAGGCAAGGAAGAGCCGAGTGAGAGAACCCTGGGACGTGGAGGGATCCCAAGGTGGGACACACGTTTCCGTGCTGAAGGCGTTTAGTGAAAAAGGCGTGCAAGCTCGAGAAAGTGAGAGATGTAAAAGTTAGAATATGGACGAACGTACAGGGAATAAGAGGAGAGCCCCTGTGTACTCAGCACGCACGTTTTTAAAATTTTTATTTTACATAATTATTTTTGGTTATGAAATACTTGGCATGAATAGTCCTGAATGGGTTCCAGAAACAAAGCATCCACCGTTTAGTACCTGGGTCAAAGGGTATTGTGAGTTCAGTGCTAATACAGGAAAGGCACTGGGTACATAGTGCATCATAAACACTCAGTGATGGGCTGTGGGGGAAAAACACGAAAAACACAGATGTACTGTGAGAAAGCCTTTTGTTTCTTGTGTCCTGAGGGCTGGTCTTGCCGGTATCAGTAGTAGAGAGCAGAATTTCAGTGCTTGAAGGTAGTCTGTCTGGCTGTTCCAGCCCCTAGGAGTGAAGCAGGAAAGAGTTGAGTGTAGAATAGAAAAGTCGGGCAGCATGACATGGTTTCTTGAAATTTTAAATGATTTACAATTGGATCTCTTGCCCCTGAAGCCCCTCGGATCTGGGTTTACGATTAGAGGACAGCAAAGTAATTTGTACAGCAGCGCCCCGTCTCTCCTTCTCTGTTAGATAGAATTTTACCTAAAGGCTGTCTTAGAACCTAGTTGATCATTGGTCACATCTGTGACAGATCTGAGGCATGGGGATTCTGGGAACTAAATCATTGTAAGCTATTCTAAGGAAGGGCAAGTTGATATAAACAAAAATTTTGATTAGGTTTTTGGAGTTAGAAGTAACTTGATGTTTTTTAGGATTGCCACGTTATGAGGTTGAGTTAGTAAGCAAAAGTCACAAGAAATGTACATCTAGAAAATTTTTTGTGAAAAAAATTATACTGTATAAACAGTTGATAAAAATGTGTTGTTCACATGCTACACTTCATAGATTTTTAAAGCAGTCACTTAACCAGATCTCTTTGAGGCTGGTTGAACCTAAAGGTTGTGCCTTCAATGTTTGGTTCTTAACTGCCTTTATGAGCTTTCATTACGTAGCTGGAGGGACAGACGCAAGTGTGCATGAACAAAAACGCATTAAGAGATTTGGAAATGGCAGAAAGCAGTGTGTAATGTGAGTTTTGAAATCCCACATGTTCTCTGTCTACCTTAAGTTTCACTTGGGGATGCCCTTCGGAGTGGATTGAGAGAGAAATAAAAGAAATGGACTGGTCACGTGAGTCAGTGGAGCGCGAGAAGTGACCAGCGAGGCCGTTTTGAAACAGTTCTTTAATGTTCTTATCAGTGCATCCTCGAAGTGTCCCTGGCACAGGGCAGGGAGGCCGTCAGACTTTAGACATTGAGACCTGCCTAAGTTATCCTGGAAGGAGGGGATACTTACAAAGACCTTCCTATCTTTTCCCAACAGTTCAATCAATGTACTGAATATAACTCCTGAAGAAACGAAACCAAATCAGGTGGGAAGAGAATGTACAAATCAGAAGTGGAGCGTGATGTCCAGACCCGGATCACAGGAAGGTTGCTATAGCGGCTGCTTCTCGCCCTATACAAATTCTCACGTAGAGAAGGATGGCTTACCTTAGACTTGTCGGCCGGAATGTCTTCATTAACCTGTTCATCAAACTTCACATCTGAGTTGAAACAGGGTACAGGGTATATCATAAAGGTGGTCATCTCTAATGATTTCAGATGGTCTGAGTTGTCTGTTTGGACTCCCTTGTCGTCCCCCAAAGAGCTGAAATGTTAAATCTATTTAAATGGATCTAAAAGCTTTGGAGATGTATTTTTAGTAACAGAAGCATCTGGTTCTGTGAATGAAGGAATGTAAGATGTTTGGGTGGAAACAAAAGCACTAGAATGAGTTTCCTCTTATAGGTATTAAAAATAGCACTTTTAGGAAACTGATTATTGTAAATGTTTAATTTTTGTCTTAAACATAGTTGGAATTGGAAGTTTAGCCTTTAACTTGAATGTATACTGTAGATTTTTAACAAAACAAGTTCTATATTTATTATGTTTAGTGTGATTTGAAATTACCTCTTTCATATGTTTTAAATAAAGTGAAATTTATGTATGTTTTGTACATAGATATACATGATTATGTTAAAAGGCTTTAAGAGTTAAAAGTTTCACACAACCATACGTATAGCATTTCATGCCAATAAAAATTTTTTGGTGATATTCTGTTTACAGATTTTTAGGTCCATTGCCACATTACATTTAAGATTTTTTTAATCCATCTGGGCAATAAATATTCAAAGCTGTACCATGAAGCAGAGTTCTTTAGATAATCAGCATTACTAATGTTACATTTTTGAGATTTTTACAGCATTAGATTTTTATTTTATATATGTAGAAAATTATAATTTTTAAAAAGATTATAGAGTATAGGGGCAGGACAAAAATATCTTTGAATAAAACAATCTAAGAATATTGGTTTAAGGTATTTGGATGATAGAAGATAGTTAAGATATCTAGATGGTGGTATTTTCCTTACCAGATGGATCCCAATACAGTAATATCTGTACCAGTGAGGGCTTTGTATCATTGCCAGTAATTTTTAAATAATTTTTTTCAATGAGATATTTACCACTGATAATTAAAAACAATGACAGTGTAAAAGTATTGAATTTTATAATCCATATTCTCTGGACAATCTAGAGTCATTTTGTTTCCAGAACAGTCTTAGGCTGTTTCCTGTCTCTGTAATGTTCCTGAGTGCATGTTTCTTCATGAAAAGTATCTTATTACTGGTAGTCGTATTACTGTAGGGCCAGGATCCTCATCAGAAAGCTTTAAGTGCCTAACCCTGCCTGACTCTGTACATAGACGCTGACGCAGATCCAGTCCCCGGTGGTCCGGTCCCTGTAGTTTAGGCCTAGCTGCCTTCCCCTTTTCAGCACTCACACTCAGAAACCCTGTTTGTGGCTGTTCCATTGAAGTTTGTCCTGTTACCCACAAAAAGCCTGTTTGTGTCATCTGTTCACTCTGTGTGACTCTGGAGTTGGGTAGTGGCAACCATTTCTTCAGGGCTGGTCGGCTATCATTAAGAGTATCTTATGAGACATTGATGAAGACACTTGTAACACAGTAACCATATTTCGGCTCAGAGCTGCTGCGTCTTAAACATGGGTGGCTCACTGCCTTCAGCTTGATGCATGATCACTTCTCTGTAGAATATTCCACGTTACAGAATTTCAAAGATACTGCCATTTTCCGAAGGAAGAGACTTAGCTGGGCTGTCGTTGTTCTGCTGCTGTGTAGCAATCCCATGGTCAAAGGTACATTTAAAAAGTAGTCAGGAATCCAGCATGCCCCTTTGCCCCCCGCGCACGCCTAGAGATTTCCATGATGTGCTTGCCAGAAGCAAATACTCTGGTTTTCAGTGTAAGTCCCTCAAGGAGACACTATTCTGTGGCAGTGATTTCTAAAAAGCTGTGTTGTACGCTTCCGTTTGAAAGAGGACTTTATTATTTGGAAAGAAGGTTTCCTTGTGCAAGAAACAGTAAAATGGAACTCAGGCTCATTTGCTCTTTGCAGAGAGTCCCTGCCAGAAATGACCTGTCTTACCTGATAGCATCACCCCCGTGTCGTGCGTTCCAGCTCCTCAGTGCTCCCCCGTCCCCCTACACTTCCCAGGGTATTGTCATGGTTTTCATGTTGGAAAACTCCCGACGCCATACGTGAAACCGCTAGGATTTTGTTTTTCTCTTCCCTTTCTGGGAATGTGCTGTGTACCAGAGCCACGCTGCAGGGTTTCATTCAGCCATGAGTACATAATGGTACCACAGTGTGCTTAGCTTGGAAGTCCTCCTCCTCATTCTAAATAAGCACCTTCTTATTTATCAGCATGTAAATCTAAAATATTTTGGACCTCATTTGTTTTTCATGGCATATCCACTTGGAATTTTCAAAGCATAAAAGCGGTTAAGAAACATTTGAGATAACCATCTTATTAAATGCTTGTGTTTGCCACTTAGGATGATGAGCAACTTAGAAGAATTCAATGATACCAGAAAGTTGGGACTACAATTTCACTTAATGGGTATTTTCTTACAGAAGCACTGTATTAAATGATGAGTTCTCACAGGACAATCCATAGCAAATTGTTTGCCGTGTGATATAATGGAAATAACACTGTTATTTGAAAGGAATTGTATATTTCCTACCTTAGCAGACTAGAATTATTCTTAAGCTTGTTGATAACTTTTTTTTTTTTTTTTGAGCAAACACATTCCAGGTGGATAAGGAGAAGAACACCCTGGAATCCAGTCTCGACCTCCCTTGGTGGAGCTGGAAGCTGCCGGGCCCCAGGGTGGTGGTGGCAGGCAGCACCCTCTGCAGACCCTTCCCTAAGTGCCGTGCTGTAAAAATCGTCCAAGTGTGTATCTGGGTGTGAATCATGCCCTGATTTCTAGATTGGGTTTAGAGTAAGTGTGGATCATGGAAGCCTAGTAAATACGCATACTCTTCTGTTTGTCCTTTTCCCAGTCTTTGGCTGAGTACTTGATGTAGCATCTGATAGATGTCAGGGCTTGCGATCTTGAGGATAAGAAGACAAGCACACTGCCTGAAGTGGAGACTCTGAAATAAGTGGAGAACCAGCTATGTAACCCTGGCACATTGTTGTAATACTGATAGCTGTTATTCACACATTTGTTCTGTTCTTAAAATGTGGACTGGTGTTTCTGTTCTAGAGCCGCATTACCATTTTGGAACAGTAACATGGCTGCAGTTAAAGTCTTGGCATCATTTGTATGGAAGGTGTTAAATGTGATTATGGTTTTGTTTTTATGGGTTTTGTTTCTATAATACAAATGTTTACCTGTAAAATAGTATAGGATTTTCTCCCCACATGAACATGAATTATTATCTAATAGAAAAAGCATTTGCAAAGATTTGCGCACCATGGAAGATAATGAACTAGGTTATTCCAGTCCTTTTCCTAAATACCGTGTTCTTTTTTCAGGCTGGATGTAAATTAAGAGTGGAGTGGATTGTTGATTAAATTAATATAAAAGCTTTCACTTGTCTTGCTGAGGTATTTTTTATATTTTTGGTAATATTTGCAAATAATAGATTTTGGAGGGTACAGAAAGTGCTGTCATGTCTGTGATTATATATATAGATCCTGGAAAAGATGCGCCTCAATATTCATAGATTTAAGAACTATCTGTACCTAGTATAATGCTTAACACAGTATGCACATACTGGTTGATGTGAATTATAAAATGCTGATAAAACTTATATGGCACATTTCTCACTGAAATGAATGGACTATACAGTTTTGGTTAGAACCCCAAAGCTGTTCTTTCTCAAGAGGGTAGGAAGCTTGTTTTATGATTGCGTTTCTTGCTTGATTCTTTCCCCAGAGTATTAGGGAAAACAGGTCATGCAGCAGGTGGCAAGCACTGCGTTGGTGTACCATAGGCGGAGATTGCAGTCTTGCCCACGTAGCAGTCCGGGGTGAACCAGTCCACCTATAACTGCACCGCCTGGAATGCATGGGGTCCCAGCGTTCCCAAGTCAGGGGAAGGGCAGAGGGGATCATGGTGCATGATACTAGGCTACTGAGAAAGTTTGTGGGAAAATGGAATTAAAGGATAAGTTTCTTTTCATGCAAAACATTTTGAAATATCTCAGTCGTTTTTTTAAAATGTTCAAATGGTAGTATAGTTTCACTTATGTGCAGAGCATTCACATTGTCTTTTAATTCTTTCAGTAGTTCTACAAGAAGGTATTAATTTTCCTGTTTTTAGAGAGTTGACAGCAAACTTGGATGCTAATTGATGAACTCTAGGGCGTGATAAAACCAGAACTTAAAAACCCGAATCTGGGTAGACGTTAAAGCACAGCACAGCACTTTAAGCTACAGCTTGGAACATGCAAATCCCGTATCAGAGTTCTGCTTCGAGTCCTGACTTCTCCGCACTTGTGGTCCAGCTCCCTGCTAATGCATCTGGCAGGCAGCATGTGCAAGTACTTGTGTGGGAGACCTGAATAGAGTTCCAGGCTCCTGGCTTGAGCCTGGCCCAGCCCCAGTTGTTGCAAGCATTTGGGTAGTGAACTAGCAGATATAAGATGTCTCACTCTTGCTCTGCCTTTCAATAAACTTAAAAAAAAAAATTCTCAGGTCTGGCACTATGGCACAGTGGGTTTAGCTGCCGCCTGCAGCACTGACATCTTATATTGGTGCCAGTTCATGTCCCAGCTGTTCCAGTTCTGACCCAGCTCCCTACTAATGTGCCTGGGAGAGTAATGAAAGATGGCCTAGGGGCCGGCGCTGTGGCTCACATGGCTAATCCTCCGCATGTGGCGCCGGCATCCCATATGGGCACCGGGTTCTAGTCCTGGTTGTTCCTCTTCCAGTCCATCTCTCTGCTGTGGCCCGGGAGGGCAGTGGAGGATGGCGCAAGTGCTTGGGCCCCTGCACCCACATGGCAGACCAGGAAGAAGCACCTGGCTCCTGGCTTCGGATCGGCACAGTGCCGGCCATAGCGGCCATTTGGGAAGTGAACCAACGGAAGGAAGACCTTTCTCTCTGTCTCTCTCTCACTGTCTATAACCCTACATGTCAAATAAATAAAGGAAGATGGCCTAAGTGTGTGTGCTTCTTGCACCCACGTGGGAGACATGGATGAAGCTCCTGGCTTCAGCCTGGCCCAGCCCTGGTCATTGGAGCCATTCAGGAAGTGAACCAGCAGCTCGCTCTCCTCTCTAACTCTGAAATAAATCTTAAAATCCTCACAACACCCTATTTTTTTTTTAATGTATCCTCTGATTTCTAAATTTCCAACTTAGTCTACTCACTCCGGGGCAGTGAGTGTGTGTCCCTCTGCGGCTACAGCCACAGTGACCAGAAACACCTTGTTTTGTCCAGAGGTCAGGTGAGCTTTCAGAAACATTTTTTCATGAAAAACAAGGGGATGGGATGCACGTGCTGTGGCTTTTGTGCTTCGGGTAAGGAGGCTAGCTTCCTCCCGGCGGCTGGAACTGTTCTGTCGCATCTGCATTTCCATGCTGAACTCTGGTCGGTGGAGACTCATTCCTGGTTCTGATGCCCCCTTACGCCAGACGGTGTACTGATTAGAAAAAAAGCAAAGCTTTTACATAGTCCCTGGAGCCGGAAGACTGATTACCGAGAGCCTGCCCTCGATTGTCTTTGGCTCCAGTTCTGTACGGTATGTGACACCTGGACTACAGGGGTGGAGCTGATCTTACCCGGCAGCTGTGAGGTCAGACAGCTGCTTCCCCAGGTTCGGGCTCTGCCCGCTGTTAGCCCTGACTACCGCAAACCAGCCTGTTAACCTCTAAGTACAGGTGTTAATTATAACAGTCTGTTCGCCTACACGGAGGTTTTTTTTCTTTAAGTTCTCAGCTCAGATTTCTTTAAACTTTTGTATATGTTTAATTTTTGATCAGTGAAGAGGTTCAATCAAATGTAGTTCTAATAGTCACCCAGGACTGAATGCTTCGTGGAAGGAATATCAGCTTAAATTTAAACCACTCTGCCTCTTAACTTGAAAAATCCTTTTGCCTTTAAAAGCAGATGACTGATAGCTGTGATTTTTTAAAATTTTATTTATTTTAGGGAAAGAAATGATAGTAAAAATATAAAATTACTTGACCTCAGTGAAACCAAGCTTTTCCAAATAATTTTGCAGATTCCATGTTAATCTCACCAAGAAAAATAGAAATCCAGCAAGCAGCCACACACTGCCTTGGCACATACGCTCTTGAAGAGATGGTTTTCCATCTTAAACTGTGGCAATGTATCTCTGAGATTTGCAAATTCAGCTTTGATCTTTCATTTCTGAAGCACTGTCGTCATTTTTATCAAGGACAAAGATCTGGGGCAAGGACTCGTGTGTTTAAAATTTAAATTCTGGGGCCAGCGCTGTGGCACAGCAAGTTAAAGCCCTGGTGGGCTGAAGCACCAGCATCCCATATGGGCGCCAGTTCTAGTCCCGGCTGCTCCACTTCCGATCCAGCTCTCTGCTGTGGCCTGGGAAAGCAGTAGAAAATGGCCCAAGTGCTTGGTCCCCTGCACCCGTGTGAGAGACCTGGAAGAAGCTTCTGGCTTCAGATCGGCGCAGCTCTGGCCATTGTGGCCAGTTGGGGAGTGAACCAGCAGATGGAAGACCTCTCTCTCTGTCTTGAACTCTCTAACTCTGTCTACTCTGTCTTTCAAATAAATAAATCTTAAAAAAATAAAATTTAAATTCTTCCATAAGAAACAAAAGGACCATGGTAAATTGCAGAGGTGGACTTTGACCGTGCAACGAGGGTCAGAAAGGGCTGTACACCTGCGACATAGCCACCGGGGCCATGCTCTCTTGAGCCTGTGGCAGCGAGACTTTCTTTGCACTGGGTAGCTTTGGTTTGTAGACCTCAAAACACTGCATAACATGGATTCATTGATTATAGCTCACGTGCCCGAATTGTACAAACCGAGAAGCTGTGATAGTGAAAAAGGGAGCTGTTCTTTGCAGGCCTGTACCCTGGGTGTAAATGGGAAAGGACAATCCCCCTGGGGCTGGTGGAAGACCATCTCCAAGTAACCGAGACACAGGAGTTTTGATTTTTGAACCCTCCCTCGCCCCCAAGCTGCTAACTGTAATTCGTGCCTCAGGTACAGTTTCTGAAGGATTGAATCAAGTTGCGGCCTTAGCCTAGCAACACGTTCTCCTAGAACACTTGTTCAATAAATGCCCAAGGGGACTGATGTGTTAGGGAACTATGTAAGCATCACGCACAGTTTGCATGTGTTACTGTGTTCTGGCTATGAGAAACATTAGGGGAATGCAGAAACTCACCAGCTGAGCCAAGCAGAACAGGAACATACAACACACACACACACCACACTCACACACACACACACACACACACACACCCCTCAAGTGTCTGCCTCTGTCTGGCAGGGAGAGGTAACAACATGCAAGGTCAAAGCTGTGAAACCACATGACCTTTGCACAAACCACAGTGGTCCTGTGTAGCCAGAGTGAAGGCAGTGGGAGGGGTAGGCAGGGGCCAGGCTAGTGGGTCTTGGGTAAGGGGTGGGGTTGAATTACCCTGAAGGCTTGACGATGCTCTTGAATGTTTGAAGTGCAAATGCGACACAAGCCTGATGCCTCTCCTTGTGGGAGCACCCTGAGCAGTCCTCTGCTAAAGCACTGATCACAAATGCCTGATTGTACTCCCTTCCTCGCATTCCTCATGTCCTGATTTGTGGGTGGAGGCAGTCTGGAGAATTGCTGGGAGGAAAGCAAAATGGCAATGAGACCAGGCTGCAGGGATCCAAGTGAGAAGCGATTGAGAGGAGGGGGTGGGCTTAGGGTACACTCTGCCTTGATGCTGGGCTTAAACGGAACTCCAGGCTGACTTCTGGCCCAGAGGGATGGATGACAGGGCTCAAGGACGAAGAGCTTCAGAAGATGTGCAGGAAATGGTGAAGCCAGCAGACCTGGGGTGTCTGCATATTATGCTCGAGAAAGTTCTGTCTGCAGGACTGGGCTGGCATGAGCCCTGGCACTTCTCCTTGCTAAAAGAATTTATCCCTGAGGCCTTGGGCCAGGCTGGACTGGTGGGACCTGGTAAAGTTATCCCAGTAAAGTGGTTTATGGTGAGTGCCTCTTGTCGCCTGTGAGGCTGGGATCTGAGTAATGAGTTGCATGGATGGGTGCTCATGCCTACTTGACCCTGAACACCTTGGCCCAGGTGAGCGTTGCAGCATCTCTTAACATGTTTTAACACTGTTGTGACTCTGGGAAGGGACAGCTGGAGGCTTGGGCTTGGTTTCTCCCCGACTTGGCCCATGCACCTTTTTCCTTTGCTGATTTTCTTCTGTATTCTTTGCTCCAATAAATCATGGCCATGAGCCAAAGCTGGTCTGAGTCCTGAGAGTCCTCATGAGTCATCAAGCCTCAGAGTGGGATACAGGGATAATGAATTGTTTGGAGCATGGGTCCAGTGGACAGTGATACGTGAGCTGGAACTCAACAGCAAGGTCTGGGCTAGATACTGAGAG